GTGGAAAGGGTAGGCGGAAGATGGGTGTGGTGGCACTGCTTGATGGATAGTATAACGTACTGGGGGTACTAACATGTTTCGCAATTTGGATTACTAGAATCATAACATGTGAAGTCCGGGTTCGTTCAGTTAATACAGTGAATGACGAAGTCGAGAGGTTCCGGATTTAGAGATCCGGTCGAACCTCTGGCTATTATTCCTTGTGATGTAGATAAACGAATGTCACTGTGTTGCAGTGAATCCGGAGACTGCGCATTAAGCGTGCTACACAGCTGCTGTTGACTCCGCTTTTAAAATGAAGCACTCATGGCATGGAAACGGACTCAGGCTTCACAACTAACTTCATAAAAAGAGGTTCCATAAATGGCCGAGTCATGAAAACCTGAGGAAGATCGAAGTTCCAACAGTGGAAAATTTCTTCTCTCTTTTCCTTTCTTGATCAGAATCTGGGAATTTCGTTTAAATAATGCTGTCTGAAATTGCACAAGATGTTTTCAATCCTAATAACGAAGGATAGCATGTGTCATTTGTGGAAGACAATAAGCAGAATAACAGATTATCAGGAAGTGAAAATTCTGTATTTGGCTTCATTCAGATTAAGGTACACATATAACAGTACAAACAGTTTGTCACGACCCGCTCCTATGAAATGAGATATCGGATTTATGCATTTAACGCGCTTTCTTTGAGCGTACGTGAGATTGTACCCATTTCATGCAACTTATGTCATCGACTTGTGGTTGCTGCCTATCAGCGGCAAGAATATCATCGTTTGCCGTTGTTTCTACTAAGACGGCCTCCCAGAACTAGCCAGAAATCCGATACTAGACTTTAACTGGCTCGTGTACATCGAGTTCTGTTCGCACTTGCGATTCCGCAAGACTAATAATCGTATGAGCACTAAAAATTGTCTAATTCGTTTAGGCATCGCGTGACTGCATTTTTTTTTGTATTCCAGGGATGATAGTTTTGCTCATAGGTGTTCGTATAGTGTTATTTGTTTTTCCACTCTTGTTTGTTTGTGGCTTCATTTATACACATTTTTATTCCCAAAGTAATGTGTTCTTCTAAAGAAGGATTCAAAGCGATTTTGACGGCGGTCTTGGACTGAAGCTAATAAATATTAGTCTATTTAAATTGATTTGTTTTCATTGTTTTATTATTTAAATTAGTTTAGTGCGAATTCTGGGAATGCACAACCACTGTTGAATCCACGGCAAGAAACGCAACGATCTTGCATCTCAGGCCAGCGAGCCACATGTGACTAAGGTCAAACCCAGTATAGTTGTCCTCACGTTTTTAGGATGACAGCTCCGTTTTAGGGGGTTATAGGGGTTATATCTTTTCTTGAAACATTGAGATTATTTAGGTTTAAAGGAAGGATTTGCAATAGTATTGTGATGAGCTATGACGAGAAACTAACGCAGGTTCAAGTAGTGTAAATTTAATCATGTAAGTGGCAAGAATTATATACTGCTAAAACTCACGTGCGTTTCTCGTTACAAAACTATCACCGTACTCCTGCAACATCATGCTAAAATTTGAAAAATTCAGAAGGCCTTCTGAATGGGAAATAGAAATGCGAGCCACATTGCGCCAGTTTTGAGCCTCCCCACAAGTGGCTCGTCACCTTGTTTGAGATGCAGAAGCGTTGCGGACCTCGCTGCCGATTTAACAGTAGTGTGATTGTGCACTGTGAATCTGAACTAAACGACGTAAGTGATGAAATAGAAAAAAAATCAATTTAAATAAATATTTGTAAACTGCATCAAAATCTGTCCCTTGATTCATATAAAAACTACTTGCAGGGAAATACTTGTACGTTAAAAAGCATTACTGATACTTTAAAATGTAACTCAGTCGTACCCTTGTTCTCTTTGATCTATGCTGAAAAGCAGGATTCTACAACGACCTTATTCGATCAGCTTTCGGTTTCAAATTTCAGGAACATTTGCTTATTGTTCAATAATAGTATTAATACGTGTGGCATGCGATGTGTACAAGAAATATTGTTATGGTCTTCCTCGTTTCTACAAGAGGTCGATATTTTTGGCACTAGTAACAGAAGGATTAATCCCTTGATAATGGTCAGTGCTGTTTCTCCAAAGTGTAAAACTTTAATGGTGGTTCAGTAATCAACTGCTTCCTGTTACAGAAAGAAACTTAAGTGTTTGCTTTACAAATTTAAAGCATACATGTTCCAACGCTTACAATTACATTGCAATTCATTTACCCTAAAAGTTACCATTTACCCTAAAAAGGGACCACTTAAACTGACCCGTGCCTTATGGCATCCACTGTTCTACAGTGTACTGTTCCTTACCGACGTAGACCCAATTAACAAATGATAATGCAGTACAAGAATGACGTACAAATTAGTAGAACTGTATTACTGTTGTTCTCCTGTTACTAATTATATATCGTTTTATGAGATATTAATTCGATAATTAAATAACTCAGTTGCTTATTTGTTGTTACAGAATATGGCGAACTATTTGCCTAGCTTTCCTGGTGTTTACTTAGTGTCATTCTATGGATCAAAATTTACTCTTGAACGAACGGCGATGTGAAAGTGGTTCTTGAGAAACAGCCTACAGTGCAGATGCTGCGTGTTAGATTCCTAAGTTCTAGTTTTACTTGACGCGCTGGAAATTTCGTCAATTAGTATGGCGACTTCGTGTGTTTATCCGAAGCGCAATCTAGTTAAATACGACGTGAGCAAGAAACGTCAAAATCAGCATAGTGGGTAAATGGGAAAACGTTTCGAAACCAGCACAGCCGAATGCTGATTTGTATGAAATCTGCTCATAACGGTTATAACAAATGAAAACCTACGAACGGCTTTCCGAATATGTGGTGGTTCACGAAAATTCGCCTCGCGTATAAAATGTGCAGTTCTTGTCATATCCACCCAAATCCGCCTAATCTCATAGAATTGAAAAGTTGTTATATTGTGATACAAGACTGTCATTCTCGTAAGACTTTTAGTAGATGCTGATGGATAATGTATTGAATAAACATATGTACTAGAAAGGTTATTGATAAGCGTGTTGTACGTTAAAAAAAGTACTGTTGAGACAGGTTAGGAAATTTATTTCTCACCGGGTATGATTTCACGAGTAACGCAATAAAGATGTGCAGTCGGACATTGGATTCGATCAAGCGAACGAAAATGCAACAGGTAAATTGGTGTTGCTGATGAAGGAAGCTTTGAGTTGTAATGCGGTATATTATCTTTAGTCAACTTACGCACTTACCCGCACCATTGGTCATGGGTACTGCATATTGACTCCATGAGGGCGATCTCAGAAAAAAACTAATAAAATTGAAGTTCGAAGAACTGCTGGTGTGAGGAGGTCTAAACACCAGAATTCACTGGATCTTCGCCTCTTAGCTACCCCTTCTCGATTTCGATAAAGGGCATTATCTGGGGTCTGGTTATATATTTATATTGAGGTCTGGTTATATATTTAGGTCTGGTTATATATTTACGATGCCATAGGAGAGACTGGAAAAATGGACTCTTCGCAGAACTGAGCTACAAACGTTGATACTGGTCAGTCATCGGACTGGCCAAAGTATCTTTTGCGTTGTGTATAAGTAGACCGTTTGACGTTAATTTTTAACTAAATTACAAGTGATAAATTTGCAGACCATCATCCAGATAGTATGAGTATAAGGAGCACCAAACCAACAGCCATCTAACTAATTGTTTGCGATGTGGCATTGTGCACACGGTTCTTCTGCGGGTCTCTGCTCAAGGAATCAAGGTAACTTGTCCAAACGGTCGCTACTGTAAACCGCTAGCCCGTAGTGATTCGAGTATATTAAGAATCTTGCGTCATGGAATCAAATACGCGCTGTATTTCCGATTGATGGAGAATAAACATCATTGGAAGTATTCGTAAAGTTGTTCGCTCCATGGGATCTGAAAGGAATATTAGTCTCTGAAATTGAATTTATAGATAAATGGAAGTACGATACCCCCTGATGAACCCCAAGGGTCAAAAATTCTTTCGACTGTTAGTTTCGAAGATTGTTTTTCTGTGGAACATGATGAAACAAATTTTCGTTGCACTTAAATGATAAGATCGTAAAACTAATGAGAATTGTTAAAGGGACTGATTTTCTTTGTCTCTTATCGCGCAGTCAGCTCATTTCTTTCAAAACACCAGGCCTTATAATCGAAAGAAGGATTCCTAAAGGCTGTATCATCGACCTCATCTTTAACTACCTGAGCAGATTGTTCACCATTAAAGATCGCATATTTATAACAGGTATTAATCATAGACAATTTGCGAATGACAATTTCCAAACGTAAGTCCATTTGCAAGTTACCTGGACCCCTCGGCCTCTCCGGCGGAAAAGCATCGTCGAATGTGTCGCAAGTAGTCGGTGTCCTGTTCGTTTTCTATCATCTGGAATGTACGCACATCGGCCAGCTGCTGGCTCAGGCAGTTCATGAAGGAACCGAAAGAATTGTCGCAAGATTGTGCAGTTGCATACTGAAGTACAAACGTAATCAGAATCAAAGTTGTCATAATATCCTAAAGCACGTTCTTGTTCAGTTGGTAAGTGGCAGGGAACTACACGGCTTTGGCAACCCTTACGCTACCGGTTTACGACGATAACCGAGGGAAAACGTTGTAAAGCAAAAAATGATCTCACAGCATTAGTAAAAGTCTTAATTGCTTCATATTAACTGGAAGAGGGCAATGCAGGATATAAACAGTATAAATGAGGTGGTAAAGAGATATGACATACTGAACATCTGATTTCGTCTAGCTCGCAGATCTTGTTCGATAGGCAGGATTCCGGATGTTTGGAGAATCCTGTTTAAACTGACACCTGTGCAACCCAAAAGGTATAGTTGATTTAATGGATAGATGGATACATATGCAAATGCCATATGACTTACGATTTATTAGATATCGCTTGGTGCAATTGATTAATCCAGATTCTAAACCGTTACCTAGGTTTCGATCTGTTTTGTCGAGTATCTTCACTGGAAAGTTGGCAGCAGCTGTCATTGCTGGCGGACCAATAAGATATAGGTAGTCCAATAATAGGCAGATAATCTGACCAAGTTAGACACCTGACTGCACTGAGGTATGCTTAGTCTATGGAGAACAGTAGCATTTTTGCATTATTTATCGTATATATTGCCATTGCGTACATGCCACGTGCGTAGCGGAATTTTTGTGTTCTGCGGCGAACATCCATCTCTGTTCAATTCAAGCTCAAAAATTATATTTCCTAAGACTCCAGAAAGTTCAGGCCGAGCATCCATTTCAGTACCAAAAACAACATAAATAAAAAATAGCATATACGCAGTAACTCAATATCAACAAATGAGAAAAGAAATATTCGATTCAGCGTGACATCGTTTCCCAGATCTTTCTGTGATGGGTTGCGTTTATTCAGTTGTTTAATCCTAAACCGTTCTGTGGCTATTAAACCATGTGATATGCTGTACGACGTTTTTGTGTGTAGGTCACGAATATATGCTTCGTGTTCAGCTGTTTACACCTATTAGGGTACTATGAATCATTCTTATCAGTTTATGGTTCATAATGGTATCATTTTAAAGGCTTATTAGTCTGAATTTAATGTTATTTGAACTATTGCTGTGTATGTATGTGTATATTTTGTGTGCGCGTGTCAATGCGCAGTGCTCTATCACATCATTGTCTGACAGATCGAATAAACAGTATTTATGAAATCAGGCTGGGAAACGCATGAAGTTTTGTAGCTTCCACAATAGGAGTTGATACACTGATGATGGCGCTGATCATCAGCGTATAGTGTTTTGATAGATTACAGTATCAGGTCAAGTCCAATCCGCTCTTGTGTAGCCTTTGCCTCTAGCTGTTAAACCGCTGTGAATCGAAAGATCATAAAAGAGAAGGTAATCAAAAAGCTTCCATGCAAAAGTAGGTGAACCATTATACCTTTAGTACAAGCGTTGTGGTGACAATGGAGACGAACAGCTGCATGGTGATGGAGGTGCGGTGTTCGACGCGGTGGCTGCGACAACCGACCCTTTCGTGCCCTGTGGATCCGGTGAATGACGACTCCGCTCAGCGGGGTGGTTCTTATTCGGTAAATGGATGACGACAAGACGGACACTTATAGGACGGCGTTAAAATCTGGCGCGGAACAGCCACCCGGTAGTAAACAAGTATTCGTCGTTGGCGGTAACGATTGAAGTCGCTGTGACCAGCACGACGAAGTCAAACCACCTTTCTAGGTTATGACAGATGCACTGAAATTCGACTATTCTTCAAGAATGTATTACCATTAGCGGAAATCTATATAATCCACGTAAAATCAACCGTTAAACGATTTCAAGACCCATTATTCTGGCCAAAGCATTGCCATTTCCCCTACGTCAAACGATCACTAAACATCCGTCTAGTGTTGTCTTTTTTGTTCATGCATTCGTCGTGAAACAGACGTTCGCTGTGGAATGAAAATCTTGTTTTGATGATTCAGGTTTAACTGTATTTCTTTGGCCGACATTTTTGGTACTTGTAAAGATGTTACTTCCGCCTACGTTGCTCGTATTCGGCTAGAAGATGAGTTTTTGCTTGCTCAGCAGCAAATGCTCTCTTATGTTCATATCGTAAATATGATCCGGTGCTGTCCTTTCATGACCTGGATAGAAATTTTGATCAATGACAAAACAGATATTTTATTTCTTATTCGAAACTGCTTATTTAAATGTAATTAATTATGTTAAAAACTGCACAGATCAGTTTATTATAATGTAACGAAAAAAAAGATAGATTTAGATGATTGGCGAGTACCGCCGTTTCGACCAGCGTTTCGTCGGCCTTCGTAAAGGTAGAAGTTGGTAGAGTTTCGGAAATTTTTCTTCGTATCCCAGCGACTGGTAGATTTGAATGCATAAAGTATGCGTTTCCTCCATTGTGATGGTTAAATAGCTTCTGAATGACAGGCGCGACAAGGCTCATTTAGTCGTCGCAGAGTTCATAACCTCTGTCACGGTTGACATTGTCGCAGGAGTGGATGATTAATGCCTCATTGCCATGCCTACGTAGC